TTACACAGTAAGACAAAACTTTCTTTTACATGGAAAAACTAAGAGGGTCAACCCCCAAAACATACTATTTTGTTTAATTTGTTTCCGCGTAATACTTACATTCATTGATTTCATTCACGTGCATTGTAAAAGTATACATAATCAGTCTATCAAATTCCTGTTTGTTGTGAAAGTGGTTTTAGTATTAGAGCAGCATACATGATTTGATATTTTAGAGATACGATGATTTGATACTAGTTTCAAACTTTAAAATTTGATATCAAATTTTAATAATTAATTTTTACAAATTAACAGTTATTATTTATTGAAAATTAATAAATAATAAATAAGTTTGATTCTCAATAAATTATAACTATGATTAGCAGAAATCAACGGTTAGAATTTGGTATCAAATTTTAAAATTTGATATCGATATTAAATTATCCTACTCGATATATTAATATTTATGTATAGATATTTGCTAGGGTGTTGATAAGCTATGTAACACCGATACTGACACGTGACACGATACGACACGACATTCCGACACGTTAATTCTAAAAAATGTTAGATTTCGACACGTTAAAACACGTTTTGATATTAAATAATATTTTAAATTTATGTAGTGTATATTATATTTAATATTCAGTAATTTAACAAAAAAAATGAAACTAAACTTATAACATTCATCAATTTTGCAAAGAAACATAAGATATCTCAAATACTTATATTAAACTCAATAAAATAATAATCGTAATCCAACGAATCTAATAGTTGGAACTAAAAACTCAACGCAACGCAAACTTTGAACCTTTTTTTGAATTTCTATAACGCGTGTTGAAGTGTCGGAGAGTGTCGGACACGACACGTCAAGGTTTTTGAAGTGTTGGTGCTTTATAGTTGATAAGACATTCGTTAAAAATATTAAAAAAATAGAGAGTAAAATATTTATATATTGGAAACTCAAAAAATATTTAGTAGCTTGTTTTTTGAATAATTTAAACATTTAACAAATAATATTATAAGTGTTTCTGGAAATAGATCCGCTTATGTTAAAAAAAGCATAACATGAATATGTGAGAAAATCACAATCATACAAGGGTGAATCAACGGTGATGATTTTGTAACTACCTATTTTAATATATTTTTCTCTCTTTTTCTTTATCACTATTAATTTATGAGAAAAATATTTATGCAATTAATGCAGATAAGTTATCTGCATTTACTTCCAAAATGATGTTGTTTTGGGATTGAAAGATTAGAAAATTATAATTATAAAGACTATAATAATCCTGAAATAAATTAAAATTACAAAAACACCATGATTTTCGTCTCAAAATGACGTTGTATTAGGCTTACTGCAAATAATTTTTTTACATTAAATGCAGAAAAAACAAACCCTTAATTTATCTTTATATAGTTATGATTTCATGAGCATATTAATTTTTTTTAAAACGAGAGGATCGAGTGTTCCTTAACCATATATTACAAAAATGCTTCTTAACGATTAATTAACAAGGACCTTAAATATTCGGTATGTGCTGTCGGAAGCTCCAGCTCTGCAGGAGCATTTACAACCTTTCTTTTTTTTTTTTTAAAGTTTTATCGCAATGCATTCGATCAACTGAAAAGCATTTTTAAATTAGTTGAACATTTTTATCTCATTACTAAGCTAAAAAGTCTTGGTATAATTAAGAGACTCAAATTGGGCTCTGCATAAACAATCTGTCTAAACAATTTGGACTACGTACCTGTCTCCAGATTTTTGTTTCTCCCAAACAAGGTACACAACTGAATAGTGCATCAACGGAAGTAAAATTGATTTTGCATATTAACTTTGGGAAAAAGACTTCTCATGTTGCATGAGAAGTCTTCTCTTTTGTCACTCTCACTTCGATATTTGTGTCAATCACTTTTCTTTTCTTTTTTTCTTTAAGGTGGGTCTCACCTCTTTCTCTCTCTGTAAGAAAACTTGAATTTCTCATGCAACATGAGAAATTGCAAGCCCATTAACTTTTTGCACTTATTTTATACTTGAGGCATAATTTTTTAACACTTGTGTCAAATTTGAAATTTGACACTTCATTTGGAAGTCGTTAGATCAAAAAATATCAAAGGTGTCACATGCTTACAAATCAGAGTCGGTGATCTTTTTTGATCTAATGTCTCTCAGATGAGGTGTCAAATTTTAAATTTAACACTAGTGTCAAATGATCCTACCTCTTTATACTTATTTATTTGGGATAAAACAAAGAAAAATGTATTGAAAGGGTTTTTTTTTTTTTGGTTATCTAAAATAAAAGTTGTGTTAGAATAATTTAAGAAAAATCATCTTTAAATAGCATTGTTGTGTACTTGTGTATAATATTTTAGTGACCCCCCATCACTTTCTTGAACAGAATGATTCCAATAAATCTCAAACCATCCACATCGATATCATGGATTTAGACGTCTCTCTCTCTCTCCGGGTGTGTGTATCTAAGAGAATAGGATGTACCAAATTTTCGGTGTATTTTTAATTCATAATATGATATATGTCTTATTTTTATCAAATTATTAATAAAAAATAATTTTAAAATCAGGTGAAAAAATGATTTGATGAAAAATAAAATATGTATCATATTATAAGTGGAAGATGTACCAAAAACTATAGGACTAAAGAAATTTCAAATGGTTAGGCTATAGTTATTCCAATAGGCAAGTAGTTCAGTTCCCCCCTCCTCTCCTTTTTTTTTTCGTTTACCCATTGTTTGAAGTTAAGCTTAACTTTCAAAATGAAGTTTGCAGGATATAACGTCATTCTAAATTTCTCTCAACTTTTCAATGTTCTTTATTAAATGCTATATGCACTTGAAAGTTACAGTTTTTATATGTGTTTTGTGTTCATATTTTCACAAGCATATTGAATAAACAAATCTGTTGAGAACGACAGTGTGCTTGGAGCATAAAGGACTTGCATAAAATTATTATTAAATTTGCGCGAATAACAAATTTATTACAACCAGAATCTATGATTTCTATGTAAATTTCCTTTTATACCAACGTTCTGACCAAAACTCAAGTGACAAATTAAACAAATTCATTGTGCTTATTCAATAATAAATTCAATTTAACGTTAATGCTAACCAATCGATATCACCTGAGCAAGATATGGTTGTTGATATATTTCTTTACTGTTGAGAAGCGAATCAGCCTAATTTGCTCATTTGCGTGTCTTTTGCTACCTTTAGAAAACAACGTTGCTTTTTTAAATGATCTTTAATTAAGAAATATCCCAGAATTTACACGGTAAACTTCGTGGCATTGTTACTAGCATAGAGGCAATACTTCTTTGCTGTGCGGGGACAGTATTAGATCCTACAAATCCTGTATATATATACAAACACAGGAACCTTCTCCGGAAAATTTGGTGAACTTTCAGTATTGTACGATTCTCATGTTTATTGACTCCACTTTGATATAGGTATAATAACTAGTAAAGTCTTGTGTATTATATGAGTATTTTTAAATTAATATATAAGTTAAAATTAATATATTAAAAAATATTAATAATTATATTCTTGTTGGGAGGGTTCTCTTAAGTCAGCGCGGAAGCAGTTCAGAGGTCGATAAAGCACCACATCGGCACTTTGGATGTTGGCCTGAATTCATCAGGTCGGTCAAATTGTAAAAGACAGAAAATGCATAAATGAGAGATGGAAAAAGAAACACAACAATTTTAAGATGGAAAACCTCCCTTAATACAGAGGAGTAAAAATTATGGGACCTAGGCCAACAAAATCTTCCATTATGAAATAATAGGATTACACCACTCGAACTAATTACATAGTCACACTAGAAGTATATTCATAATTCACCAACAATAATGGTTATAATATTTTTCTCTAAAGATGTCTTATACTCAAACTTCTCTTCATAGATCTTTTACCTTTTAAAAAGCTTCTCATATCTTAAAGTAGGTGAGGTGAAACCTCCACCTTCTTCTAGAAACTTCATTATTGATGAGATAGGTAGTATTCATTGAGGTGATTGTTCAGACATTGAGTCATGCATCAATAAATGTGATGCATGTTTAACCATCAAGCATTAATAAAACACACCCAACAATTCTAATATATATTTCTTTAGAGGAGAATAAAGTGAAAGAGTAAGTCACTCTAACATATTCTAATTCAAAATATAAGAGTAAATTGAAGACAGGTTTTTCTAATCACTTTGTGCACAAATCTTTACTTGTAAAATAGAATAGCTATATAAATTACTTAAAATCAATTATGTGTAGAACTTATGTGATGAATTTCATTAAACTAGCTAGTCAATAACTTTTTCAAATAGAAACAAATTTCAGAACTATAAAATTTGCTCTTTAATAAGAAACCATGTGACATATCAAATTAACAATTGAGATCGATCTTGCATAATGTGCTTAAACTGAACTTTTTTTTTTGTTTATATTTTTATATGTTCAGGGCTAACATTAATTTATAGAATGTTCTTAATCTAACAATATATATTATACAATTTCAATATCGTTTATATTAAATATGCACCTTTGAGGCTAATTAATGCGTAATGAATAAATAATCTTCAGTGTGATTGTATATTGTAAAATTCATCAGTGAAGTCAGTAAATTAAACAGACACAATATGTATGTTGGAGAGTGTAAACAAACTACAATTTATTGAATTGAAGCTTGAAATTGTTACAAATATTCCATAATCCCGAATTAAGGGATTGGATAAAGATGATACAACAAAAAATGGGTTCTAGCGAATTGCACTGAGAAATTAAAACAAAAATGAGTTGAAACCTAAACTAATCAAACACTGCATATGGTCAAAAAATTCAACACTATAAAAAAAATCCAGGGTAATGCAAATTGGTTGGAATCTAAACCATTTAGTTAAGCTAATTAATTTAGGCCAAAGAATTGAGTGACGTTAGAGAAAGTATATGGTCTCATTTGATCGCATATACGAAAAAAAGATATTAGGTTCTTCTAAAGAACAGTGATAAGCATTCACTGTATCCTCTTCATGCGCTTACGCTCTTCCTCTACCTCCATCAAGTTCATGATCACTGCATCCGAAGCATCTCTTAGAAGCTCCGACCAGTCCCTAAAAACCCATAAAAATCAAAATCAAAATCAAAATTTAACACACTGTTGCATTAATCAAAGAGAAAAGAGAGAAATGTGTAATATGTACCCATTCAAAGGATCGAAGGTTAATCCCACAGTGTATTTAGCTTCCTCAAGTGCTAAGCTAAACCTTTGAAGCTCTTTAGCAGAGCAAGTTCCATTGTCTTTAACCATAAGCTGTGAAGGCTTCACATCGTAGAAGATGGGAACAACCCTCTTCTTTGACTCCATGAAAAGAGCGAGTTCATGGAGACAGAAATAAGAATCACAATAACGTGGAGAAAAGACAGCAACGCCAACCTTGCTCCCAAGAATGGCTTTGTCTATATGATCAAACAACCTATCACCTGGTTTCATGTTCATGCTGTCCAAAAACGACATCACTCCCTTCTTTGTCAATCGATCGTAGAGTAACCCCGCGATGTTCCTCTTTGTGTCTATCCCGCGGTGGTTTATGAAGACGTCGCATGCCGGACGAGCGATTTTGCGGCACAAGGTGGCTGATAAACGCTGCATGGCTCCTTCAACAAGTTACCTTTGTTTGGTACTTTGTAACGAAAAGTTTTGGTTCTTCTGTTATTTCCTAACTGTTCTTTATATTTTGTCTCTTTGTGTTTATTGTTTTTTTTTTTGGAGGAATTTTATTGTTGGTTGCTAGAGCATGAGGCGAGGGACAAATATTGGTGTTTGTGTTGTGCATATATAGCGAAATTTTTGGTGAAGGGTTTGATAAAAGTCTAAAGACCAATTTTTTAAACTTGGGGTTTTGAATTTCAATGGGGTAGTCCATGTTAATATTTAGACCCAAGAAAATACTAGGTATTTGAACGAAAAAGAGTAAAAGTGTTTGAAATTTTTGACTACGAGTCGAATATGTTTGGAACTGTGCTTGTCCTTCAAACACGCCTATACGTTAAAAACTTTATTTGATGTGGGCCCGGGATCTGTAACACTGATCCGCTGACATGGTCATATTCCTAATGATTTTGCCTTAAACTTTTGTGGGAAATTTAGAGGGTTGCTTCCTATTGGCCCCAATAAACTTTGCAATGCTCATATGTAAAACTAATTAAACTGTTACCATCTATTGTTTTTCAGCCTTTGCTTACTTTTTTTGATATTCTGGAATATCGAAGAATTAGAATTATCTTAGAGAAAGTTTTCCATTTGGATTTGTTATGAATAATTGTCATCAATTTAGAAGAGGTCTTAACTATCGCCAGGCTCAAAATAGCCAGGTGGAGCAGAGTGCCTTATTTGATTTCTTTGAAATTGACAATTCTAAGCTTAGAAAGGAATAATGTGCGCGGCGGTTGAACAGTCTGGTCAAGTATTTGGGAGTCGGGGTTAGTTATGGGATTGAACACAATACAAAATGAAATAACAATTTTTATTTTGTTTTGCATATGATAATTTTTAACTATAACAAGTTACTTGCGGATACCGTTTTATAGTGTTAAACATAACTTGCACTAACAAATGGTGATAGCTAAATTGGTAGCAAGGGAGCTGAGTAAGTGAAAAGGAAAGAGTCTCGATTCGATCCTCACATTTCACATCTTTAGGAGAAGCTTAAATATTTTCACCCCTAATTCATCCTGCACTCCAAATTTGTCTCATAATCAGCTGAATAGATCAAAGCTTGTGGGATACCTAGAAGAGCCAACTTGCCTTAAAAAATTAATTAGGGTTGTGTTAACTCCAAAAAGAAAAAACATAACTTGAACTTTATATGTAGAGCATTTTCAGTACGACGACAGGGAATAAAATCATTGGATGCGACGAGAGATTTTACACTATACAATCCCAAAAATGCACGGTGTAAAATATTAAAATTACTTTTTTTTTCCCAATCAGAAAAATATCAATTGATGTGGTGCACTCCTATTGATCCGTTGTATTTATGACCGTATAATTATAAATTTTTCCAGTAGCTGCAACTACTATATCTGAAACTATACATGCATGCTTGTGTTAATCATGAGTTGGATCAATTAGGATTAAAAAAAGAAAGGAAGGAAGAAAGGAAAACATCATGTTCATATGTAGTTGCCGAAATTTGGGGAGGGGGAACAATTTATTTCACAGCCTGACTTTAAAAAGTAATCATTGCTAATTATCTAATATTGATACATATATAACTGTATGAAATGAAACATAAAAAATGTAGGGTGTATTTGAATTCTGTTTCCAAAAACAATTTTTTAATTTTTAGAATAAAAAAAATTGTTTGATAGTGCCTATTTTGTAAAAGTAATTCTAATAATTATATCTATTTTTTAGTTTTTAGAATCAAATTTATAGAATATATTTCAGTTGTTTTTGTTTTGTATTTTAACTTTTAACTTTCAAAATAAAATAAAAAAATTGGAAACACCAATTTCATTAACTACTCTATAAAATATATATTTTTTAAAAGAACACAATCAAAAAAATCTTTATTTTTGTGTTTTTTTATTTGGGTCCTATAAGGTATATATCCACACATCTTTTACAAGACTACTTCTTGTTTTGGTATTGAAGCTCTGGTTCTAATCCTGACATTGCAGGGATTTTTAAATTACTGAATTCAAACTTGTTTAGTACTTGAGCCATCTTGTCAGCTTTATGATTTAACCATAAACAATCAATTGATTAGCTTTTAAGGTGAGGCTTCATATGTATGAAAACTGTAAAAGTTAGAGAATTCTAGAAATCGATTCTGAGAAAGGGAATGGGATCATTGGTGCAATAAATGACAAATATGCAAATGTTTCAATAAACTATGCATGCTTTTGTACAATGAAAAGCCTAATACTACTGTTCTCATGAGAGTGACAACTTACTCATGCATCATGAGCGTGACTGAATTAGCTTGTGTTCTGACTAGAATACACTGAGTCTTTGTAAACGCGGCGATCTAGATTGATCTAACTAATTTTGTATAATTACAAAGTAGAATTATATTTATAAATTTTTTATTTATAAAATTTTTTTAAATTAAATTATGTATTTTGGTGAATATATACTTAAGTGTTTGTATTTTTCAAAATATATAGTATAATTCATAAAAATTTGTAAATATAATCATTCTCACAGTTAAATATAGCTGATAAAGTAATATAAAAATCCAATTAGGCATCAATCATGCTTTCGATTAAAAAGAAAATTCCAAAGTGTGCAATCCAAGAACGGAAAGCAGGAATTAAAGAGCATAAAACGTTTAGGGAGAAAAGAATGAAAATACTTTTCTCTCATTTGATTCCAAAAAAAGAAGTATGAATCCTGACTTATATTCAATAAACGTGGGCCTTTGACTCGGTTAACAGTACATAGCAGAAATTAATGGTTCGGGGTGAGTACTGCGTTCTTTGTCTATGCATCAAATTTAGTGCTTTTATTTTCCAAAAGGCAAAAGTGGCTCAATTCGACCTTGTTCCTCTTTAGGTAACAAATTGGATTGATACTTTTTTCATTTTTAATCTTGTTATTTTATTTTATTTTTGAGATTTTTCAATCGGTTAATTGCTTTGCGACTAGTTTGATTCAGAACGGATCCCAAAATTAAGACTTTAATCTTGTTATTAGTTTCTTTTACATAGAGGTGACAAAATTTTGATAGTTTGTCTCGTCCGATCTACATCCCACCTCAAAATAACTCTACCCGTCTTATTCCTGTCATGCCAACATATTAAAAATGTGAAATGGTTTCAAAAATTATACTCCCCATAAATGTAAAGGATATCAAATGAAGATTAAAGAGATATAAAAAGTAAATTGATTAATTTTATTTCATTTAAAAAAAAACCTACTGGTTAGTTTGTCCTGCAGTGGGTTGAATTCGTTTTGACCCATGGCGGGTTAAATTTGTCAACCCAATGGGTTTGACCCATTTTACCGCCTATTCTCCATGATGTGGTGTTAATTTTTTCAGCAAAAATATATTATGAGATTATATGAAATTAAAATACTAATTTTAGCCTATTTTTTGCAGACATGATTTTAAATTCGAACGAAATATTAGGGTTTCCTATATAATTTACATTTTCCCGTTCACAATTTTGGATGGAGAAAGCTCTAGAGCAATTGTACATGCATTCTATGAATCCACATGAGACTAACCGATTATATTATCCCAAGTCCCTTATCATCATTGGTATATATTTTTACTCACACTAATTAATATTATAAATACCCAAACCAAATTAATAAAAGATCACTAAAATTAAGTGACCTATACATTGCAACCAAGTTATAACGTGTTTTTATCAAAATAAGAAAAAACATAATTGATTGTAGTCACAAGAATTATTAAATAATTCCAACATGTTCTTGAATCTTTCATTTGGGCATCATTGTTTGTATACTTTTAATTAAAAACATTTATTTAAAAATAACTCTTGGGCTAAGGATTGATTTTGTAATGGTGGCCATATTTTAATAAAACACTTGATTCAAAGCTCTGGATATGACACTATCCAGTTAAAATCAAGCCACATTGAATCATGGTGATTTCATCTTTATTGATATATGACCTTCTATGAGACATCCTCGGGTCTATGATTCGATTTACATATTAAATATCTAAAAAATAAGATCACATGATCTTTTTTTCACATAAGAAGATCTACTTTCAAAAAATAATGTCAATATAAACTTTTTGAGATAACTTAAACGCACGTGATCTATCTCTATGAATTTCAATTTCCAACATAAAGGAAGTTTTACCAATATCTGTCATGTCAAAGAGCTTATTGTCCCAATAAAGTTATAGGTGCCTCATCAAAATTAAGGTACCATTGTCTAGAAATTAGTTTCAAGTCTTAAGTAAATCTTTTCGGGGCAGGATATAGTTATAAATTTTTTTGTTTACAAACTACACTAAGTAGGACCAGTTATACTTTAATCATGCAGTGTACGATTGGTTGTACTTAGTGTAAACAGATCATATCCCAATCTTTTCAGTTTACAAACCAAGGACTCATTCTCACTTGCCAAGAAACCTTCATATTGTCGCACACTACCATTTAAATCATCATCCCGAAAATAATAATAATAATAATAATAATAATTGCTCTTTTTAATAATAAATTTAATAAAAAGAAAAACTCTCTACTCTTGTATTTTCCAATGTGAATTCCTCATCGTTTGAAGCCATAAAGACTTATATGATAACGAAGCACGAGTAGAGGAAAATCATGTCAGTCAATAATTAATTTTGAAAGTTGAAAGTGTTCAAGTCTTAAGCTCGTCAAGATTATATCAGTTTACAGTTGAAAGTCAATAACTTTAAGTGGGGAAGCGTTCAGTTTATTTAACCAGTCTAACGAACATTTTAGTAAAAACCAAAACAAAGAAAGGAAAAAAAAAAAGGTACTGTTTGGTTTATTTTTTTAATTCCACTTTTATATATTTTTATGAATAATTATAAAACTGTCATATTAATTACTTTTATTTTATTTCTTATTTTTAATAATTCCTCCAAAAAATCTTAAAATTAAAACAATAAAAATATGATAATGTCACTGTAATTATTA